GGAATTGAATTGTTCCGTAACTTTCCTACCCATGCACAAAGCACAAGGAGAAATGCATTTATTTATGCAGTGCATGCAGGAATGGCTACCTCATGTAGCCAGGGGCTGAAAATCATCGCTTAATGAGCATTATTCGGATGAGCTCCGGCCTTTTCTCGTCGCCCAAGTCTTATTTCCCCAGAAAATTGCAGATTTTTCGGTTGTGACGTGGGCCTTGACCCAGGGATGGGTTTCAGAGAGCTGTCTCCCGATTCCTTCCGTATGGCAGCACCGGCTGCGACTCGGTCAACTGGCAAGTGAACGAGTTGGAGGAGTGCCTCCGCAACGCCGGATTGCTCCGAGGTCCAGCTACCAAGTTGAACCAAACAGGACGCGATCAACTGGATCACCCCTCTGAGCTAGTGTGGGACACAACGGTTAGCTCCTGGAGTGGCTAGCCAGTTGACGAGTCCTCCCGAAGAGCCTTGAGGATGCTTCCGAATAAGTGTCGTATATTCTCTTGCACCTCACTTGCTACCCAAGCTGTGCAAAGGAATATAAAGCCCTCGCATTCCCCCAGCTTTATTTTCACTTCACTATCATCATCATCACCATCAGCAGCAGCAGCAGTTCACAGCTCGATATCCATTCCTCTTCGATATACAGCTTGCCACAAATCAATCCATACCTCCTCTCCATCATTCAAACCTTTTCATTCCAATAACTCTCTAATCAAAATGGTTTCTGGATCAGTCAACCGAACTTCCCTCCACCCTGGAGGTGTACAGTGAGTTTCTCCAGCTCTTTCTCTGCAAACCCATTTGGTGGGATGAGTCCATTTATCGATGTGGCGATATTTTCCCACCGAGGACTTATCCCCATGGATTTAATCTTTACAAAGAAGCTCTACTGACGTCACAATTCAGACCTACTCGTGAGCACACCGAAATTGAAGAGGAGCTCCATGACAAGGCCAACATCGACTATGACCGCGTTGCCATTGTCGCCAACCCTTCAGTAGCAGCTCTATATGAAGATGCTTTGGTTTACGAGACCGGCACTGCCATCACATCCTCGGGTGCCTTGACTGCGTACTCTGGAGCCAAGACCGGTCGTTCTCCCCTTGACAAGCGTATCGTCAGAGAGCCCTCGTCTGAGAAGGAGATCTGGTGGGGCCCTGTCAACAAGCCGATGGAACCCGAAGTACGTAATCACCCGGTTTTGTGGGGTAACTAGTGCGCTTGGCCTTGCGCTAACATTATCAAAACAGGTGTGGAGAATTAACCGCGAGCGTGCTGTCGATTACTTGAACACCAGAAACAGGATTTACGTCGTTGATGGTTTCGCCGGATGGGATGAGCGCTACAGGATTAGAGTTCGTGTTGTCTGCGCTCGCGCCTACCACGCCTTGTTCATGAGGAACATGCTCATCAGGCCCAAGCCTGAAGAGCTTGTTCACTTCGAGCCCGACTACGTCATCTACAATGCTGGAACTTTCCCTGCAAACAGATTCACCACTGGTATGACCTCTTCCACCTCAGTTGCGATCAACTTCGCCGAGAAGGAGATGGTCATTCTCGGTACCGAGTACGCTGGTGAGATGAAGAAGGGTGTCTTCACCATTCTCTTCTACGAAATGCCTGTCAAGCACAACGTCCTCACTCTCCACTCTTCTGCCAACGAGGGAAAGAACGGGGATGTCACTGTTTTCTTCGGGCTTTCCGGAACTGGAAAGACCACCCTATCTGCTGACCCCAACCGATCATTGATCGGTGATGATGAGCACTGCTGGTCTGACAAGGGTGTCTTCAACATTGAGGGTGGATGCTACGCCAAGTGCGTTGGTCTCTCAGCTGAGAAGGAGCCTGATATTTTCAACTCCATCCGTTTCGGATCCGTTCTCGAGAACGTTGTCTTCAACCCTGACACCAGAGAGGTTGACTACGATGATGTTACCTTGACTGAGAACACCAGAGCTTGCTACCCCATCGAGTACATCCCGAACGCGAAGATTCCTTGCATCGCCGATGCTCACCCATCAAACATCATTCTTCTCACTTGCGATGCCAGCGCTGTCCTTCCTCCAATCAGTAAGCTGAACAATGCCCAGACCATGTACCACTTCATCTCTGGTTACACCTCAAAGATGGCCGGAACTGAGGATGGTGTCTTGGAGCCAACTGCGACCTTCTCTGCTTGCTTTGGGCAGCCCTTCCTTGCTCTCCACCCCATGAGATATGCCAGCATGTTGTCTGAGAAGATCACTGAGCACAAGGCCAACGTTTGGCTCTTGAACACCGGTTGGGTCGGTGCCTCTGCCAGCAAGGGCGGAAGACGTTGCCCTCTCAAGTACACTCGTGCTATCCTTGATGCTATGTAAGTTAACACCCGAAGTATTACCTTGTATCTACCATTTACTAACAAACATCTACAGTCACTCCGGTGAATTGGCCAATGCCGAGTACGAGACCTACGAGACCTTCAACCTCCAGGTTCCTGTCTCAGTTTCTGGTGTTCCTGATCAATTCTTGAACCCCAGCAAGAGCTGGTCTGGTAGTGCATCTGAGTTCACTGATGAGGTCACCAAGCTCGGAAGGCTCTTTGTCAAGAACTTCTCCAAGTACGAGTCGGAAGCGACCGCTGAGGTCAAGAGCGCTGCCCCTGTTGTTTAAGCGTGCTTGTTTCAGAAGTTCTTAGGTATTCCCTGGTGTCGCTCGGTAGACATCGAGGTTAGAAGCATGGATTTCTAGCTGTACTTTCTTTTCCTTTCCTTTCTTTTTTGTTGTGGGCTACACAAGCAGGCGTTTTGAGTTTTATTTTCTACTTCCTGTATAGGCAATGCTGGCGCGTGTATTTGTGCTTCAAAATTTCTTTTATATGATTATGAGCATTTGAATTTCTAGCTTATTCAAATTGATTCAAATCTATTCTGATATATCAAAATTCAAGACCTCCATAGTGACATGTCACCTACCTACATATGTATTCATGCGTCAATATTTCTTTATGGGGGTCGGGATTTTCAGTTGATGAATTGCCATCTACTCTAAAAATCAAATCAGCTGCCATGCGACTTTGCCTATCACAAACGACTATCACTGGGCGTTCCAAGATGGATGGTCGTAGGAGGGGTGCTGTGATATTACACTCAACTGAAACGTGCGACCAATCTGCGGCAAATGCAGCCGCAATGTAAACTGAGCAGGACCTGCATGCATATCCTACTCTATCCTCTGAGATTTTGCGTTATTTTTTTTCTTTTTTTTTTCTCTTTCGCACATACGAGTAGAGAGAATACGTACTCTCTGTACGCATGCTCTGGCTTCAGGTTTTCGGCGCGTTCGGCGCATTCGCTTTATTGATGCCCTGCTCATCCTTTATCAAGCTTGAGCTCCTTCTACCAGAGCTACCTACCTGGGGTAGGTACATGATAGGTGTAGATGCTGCATACTTTAAAATAGATTGATACCGGGGATGCCGAGATACTTGACATGCGATAACGGTATCAAGGGTTATCGCATACCATCCCACGTTTCCCCCCACGCGGGGTCGAAAGACAAGCATTTTAGAGTGTGTTTCGGCGCCAAGTTTTTCCGGCTGCGTTGTACCAAGGAGATGGGTGGCTTGCCAAGTCTTGTTTGACGGTAAATTTTAAAACAAAATTTTATTTCAAAAGAAATTCGGCCATCATAGCCTGGATGGTCTAGCGGTATGATTCCTGCTTTGGGTTCTCTTGAATGCAGGAGGTCTCCGGTTCAATCCCGGATTCGGGCCGATGATTATTGTTTTTTTTTTTTTTTTTTTTTTGATGTTTTACCTCAGTAGAGATATGATTATTGACAGCTCTTTCTAACACCAGAAATTTTATATTTTAAAAGATGTTCTTTATTTTCGGAGGTCACAGTGATCCTTTCCCATGGCCGATTTAAGACTACAGATATACAGATTCTGGTAAAATTATTGCGAAAGTGGGTTCTGTGACCTGATAGTCCTATTGGCCCTTAAAAGGTTTTTTACTGCGAGCACAGAGCTCTGATTTCGCAATAATTCTACCGGAAACTGTAAAGACCACGTTCGTTCGAAACCGGGTTATCTTTCTTGGTCCTCAGCCATTACCGGAGAAATTCGGAGTAGATACTCAAGTCTAGATGTTGCCGTTGAAAATGAAGTTGCAATGTTTCTTGGCCTTTCTGTATAGTAATTATCCCGGGATAAAGATAGGGCTGTGACTTGGTCCAGGTAAGTCATGACAGCGATTCGGAAGTTTACGGGGCCTGCGCACAGACATGTAGCAAGTGGTCCTTTTTGTTTCAGCATCTTCCCGCCGGTGTTACTGGTTAGAGAGTTCCATCTGATGTAAAGTCAAGTGAGATGGATGATGAAGCTTGATCATTTACCGACGAAACATTTGCCGCATGCAGTACGACAGCTACCATGACCCGTTCTTTGGGCTTCGATATCAGTCGCAGATGAAGGAAATCAATGCAATGCTCGCATAATCATATGTTGAATTCACTCAGCTGAAACAATGATTTTTATTTTTTTTCTTTCTTGCCACAGATTTGTGTAGCTCGTCTCACTCATCGCTTGGTTTTGTTGATCATTGGGGATCACTCACTGGTCGTCGTCAATATATCATAATGAGTTTGTATCCTTGAGGCAAAAAGCAAGTGGTCTTGTGTAATGAGCCACGCGCTTCACAAAGGTCTGCTAATTGGGTGAGCGATTTGTTATTGGGGGCGCTCTGTAGAGCACGATGGTCCATTCGTTAGATAGTGATAGCTCAGAGGTTTCAAAAACAAGCAATTCAAAAATAACAAAACTACCAAATGTTATTAGGATGATAAAAAACAAAAAGACAGAAGAACGCCGCCTGCACACTTCATTCTATGTGCGCACTGTTCATAGGTTAGAAACAAGTCAGTTTCGCCACGAGAATTATCCAAAAGCCGCCGTTCTACAATATGAAACAATCAGCTGATCGTCAACCTTGAAAGACTTCATCCACAAAACATGGTCAATCAGTCAGCCAGTTTTCCATATCCCCACGGACAGAAGCATTTGCTCACGTTGTACAAATTTCCAACGTTTTCGTCTAGGGCCGGCGCAAACGTAGCGTTGATGTACGTGAATATTGACTCGCTGGCAGGGATACCTAGGTTATCTCTAAGAAATTTGACAACATTCTCGAATCGCTGGTTGGTCTTGATCTTGTAGACATCTTTGTTCAGGATGGGGGCGGAGCCAATAGCCTTAAAGCGGATAGAGACTATAAACAGATGAAGGGTTAACGATACATTCTGTATGTAGCCCACCAGGGGGAGTTGATAATGGGACATGGGCAAAACACCTTTCGTGGGCTTAGGGCTTAGCGCCTTATCGAGAGCCATCCTTCCATCTCGTGGGAGCGAGGTCAGGACCAAGGATGCAGAAAGCGCAACCGGGAGGTCGCCAGCATCCTCTTCTGGGATCTTTGGTGGTGCTGATAGGTCTTCCGGGCCAGGGCTGGGGCTCGCCATGATGTATTGAGTTGCAATTAGCTTTGTGTGGTGTGAGGTTGGAAGTTAAACTCCGAGAGTTTGGAGGCTCTGCAAGACGGGAGAGCTAAGGGCTAGGGATGCATCTACATGACACTTCCGATAAATCATCGGAAAAGACTTTAAGCGAAAAGAAGGGAAAAAAAACTGCCAAGGTGCGTGCCTAGAATGAACGACGAAAACAGATATAGTAACTACATGTACTTCTATAAATCTCTTGGGGACTCAATCCTGATTAGTAGCTAGCAGCTGAGAAAATGGACACCAATAGTAATTTTGTTTACCCTAACAATCAAACTGGAAAAAACCACCCTGCAGCCCAACTTTTTTCTTCCCCCCGCCTGGATCATACCCCACATCATCAATTTTGAAAGGAAACCCAGAAAGAAAAGAAAGGAAATTTTGAAACAAGAAGATATAACGAGGGCTTAAATAATGTATGGAGGTGGTCTAACCGACAAAAAAAAGTGATCCGATATCGAGTCTCCATTTACATTAGTACTTCGAAATGGAACTAGTATTTCCCCTCTGGTTTACTCTACGATCAGCTTTGTGACCTTTCCGATAGCAATTGTTTGTCCCTAAAACAAAGGCGATTAGATTCCATTAATGGATTAAAGGGGCCGAATAATCTACCTGCTCACGGAGGGTGAAACGCCCTAGCTGCTGATAATCTTCGTATGTTTCGATAGCAAAGGAATCGCCGCTAGCTGCCTCGAGACGGGCAATGATTGCTTGTCCTGCATGGAATTTTAGCATTCGCGGGATATATATAGGTATCCTAAATCTCACCTTTACTAGCAAAAGCAGGCGGCTTCTTAGACTTTCTTCCGGTTCCTTTCTCTAGCTTATGCAGCAGCTGTGTGAAAACAACTTCCTGAATAGTAGTATGCACATGCATGACACATCCGAATCCAGCGGTCAAGATATTCTTAAGATCAAGAATGTGAATCTGGGCCTCGAAAGCGGTAACACAATGAATGGGTTTTTTCGCAGAGGTCAACACGAAACCGGTAGTCACATCTTCTTCTTCAACACCTTTGACACGTATACGAACTTGGTCTCCACATTGGGCGTGGTTAATCTCCTCTTCGGTTTCGGAATAGATCGTAATAACCTCAATAGGCGTGCGGCCGGGCATCATAAGAAGGCTTCCACCCTTCCTGACGAATCCTGACTCAACTTTGCCTTCGATCACAGTTCCCATATCCTATATAATATTAAAGTTAAAAAGGACTGGGGGTTAAGATAATGGGCTTAGTTCTAATAACCGTACCTTGTATTTGCTAGAAATTGGCATCATGAACGGCGCCTTGAGCTTACGTTCCAAGGTCTTCATATTGTCCAGATATTCAAGGAGCGAAGGCCCATCGTACCACGGGCAAAGATCCTTTGGTACTCTGGTGTTCAGACCAGCGCCAGTTAATGCCGACAAAGGCATAAAAAATAGATCTACACTCTATCAGTTTTTGAACAATTTCCTGTATTTGAATATGCTGCTTTACCTGTCTTAGGATTATAGCCTGTGCCTTTCAAAAACTGTGTCAGTTTTGTTGTACACTCGGCAAAACGCTCCTTGCTCCATTCCACAGTGGGGTCATCCATTTTGTTCACCACGACAATTAATTTGTTAACACCCTGAGTCTTTGCAAGCACAGCGTGCTCTCTAGTCTGGCCTCCTTTCTCGAAACCGGTCTCATATTCTCCCTTTCTCGCCGAGATGACTAAAATTCCAACGTCTGCCTGTGAAGCGCCTCCAATCATGCTAGGTACGAAGGTTTTATGTCCAGGGGCATCAAGAATAGTGTATCGTCGCTTTTCGGTTTCGAAATATGCACGACCAACCTCAACTGTCTTTCCTTTGGAGCGCTCTTCTTTTGTCAAGTCAAGTGCCCATGAAAGATACCATGATTCACGACCTTGCTCTTTAGCATCACGCTTGTATTTATCCATCGTACGCTCATCAACCATTCCTGTGGCATAGAGAATGGCACCACCAAGTGACGACTTTCCTGCATCGACGTGTCCGATAAAAATAAGGTTTACATGTTCCTGAACCCATGTGTTAATAATGTCCTAATATATAGCAGATTCTATCGCTGTAAGAAGCTCGTGCACTCCTCCGGGAAAGGGGGGGGGGGGAGAAATTTTTTTTTAGGGAATATGCACTCCAAGACCACCTATTAAATACCTTTCCGTAAAGCTCCTCAAGGGTCATTTCATCAACCTCTTCCTCTTGCTCCTTCGCGACGGCATCCGCTTCTCTCTTCTGTGCCGCGGCCTCTGCCGCTGCCGCTGCCGCTGCCGCTGTGGCTGTGGCGGTGGCTGTGGCGGTGGTTGAAGACTTTGGGGCTGCAGCGGGGGTAGTAGTTGTTGATTTGCTTGGGGCGGTCTTAGCTTCAGGCTCCTTGCTTGCCGGGGCCTCCTTAGTAGAAGCAACAGGGGCGTCCTTCTTAGCTGCCGGAGGAGTTGCGGCACCCCCGATTGTAAGAACCTTGGCACCCAGAGGCTCGCTTCCTCCAATCTTCAAAACCTTTGGTGCAGTTGGGGCGGTAGTAGCGACCGGAGTCGCAGCGGATTTGGGAGCCGTAGGTACGGGGGTACTAGTTCCAGGGGTGCTGGCTCCAGAGTTGGGGTTTCTAGCGATCTGAGGTACTTGTTGCTGCTGTTGCTGCTGCCTTTGAATATGAGGAGGACGATATGCTTGCTGCTGCTGTTGCTGTGGCTGCTGGTTATAAAACTGGCCTGGCTGCTGTCCATATGCCGCCTGCTGCTGTCCATACCCAGTATTGTATGCGCCGTACTGCGCGTATTGGTCATATCCCTGCTGTGCGCCGTATTGCCCATACTGAGAATACTGTTGGTTTTGCTGGCCGTATCCGTATGGTTGTTGTTGACCACCGTAGGCACCACCTGGTACAAAAGAGGCCGCACCGGGAGTGAATGTAGCCGCACCAGGCGAGAACGACGGGGCGTTGTACGACGGCCTAAATTGTTGTTGTGGCTGTTGTTGGCGTTGCTGCTGCTGTTGCTGAATGTTCAGTTGCTCTTGTGTTTGTCTAGCGAGATCATTATCATCGCCTGCAGCGTCCTCCCAGGAGTTTGGAGTGTTCCCAGACATGATGAGAGGGGTAGTGAGGGGTAGATTTGTCGAGTAACCACCGAAAAGGGAAGGGTACAGGTTGGTGGGTGACGGAGCTTAATAAAACCCTTCTAAGGATATCGAATAACGTCTTCAAAATCGCCTCCAAGGCCGCAAAAGATTGGAGCTCTTTGCGTTGTGGGGCGGGGGGTGGGATGGGTGTTGGTGTTGGTGAAGATGAGAAGAGCTTTTTGTTCTCCGGCGATTAGTGGGGCTGTGGTTACGCTAGCAGGGAAGAGCGAGCTAACGTCCATTGTTTTTGTGACAATAAATACACAAGATACCACCCACGGAAACTCTGCACAATGACATCTTAGACTATCTAAAGTACGTTTGGATGTATTAGGTAGCAGATGGTATGTCTTCCTTTCCGGTGCTGTATCTAGACTTACCTATTGGCGTGTCAATCACGAACATGAGGCAATATTACCATTTACAACAATAGTAAACACATGTTTCGTATTTTATTTGTTTTAATTTGCAACTTATATAATTAGCTGTTATACAAGAGGGCAGTAGGCCGTTCTACGTATGATATGGTTAGATGATCTACACATCGTACCAGAAATGGGTAAAACTGATACCACATCAGTAGGGGATTGCAAGAATATACAAAATATGCGGTAGCTAGTGTTACCGTAATTCTATGACATTGTCAAAGACTACAATAGTAATTTCGCCCATATTTCTATTACTGTATGTACGCACATGTAGGTAAGGAAAATAATCGAGTGATAGCTCGTGATCAAAGTAATGTCCGTGACGTAAAGTACATGCTAGGTATCTAACAGACCCTTCATTTGGTGTACGTGTGCTTAGGTTTTGGAATACATGGTAAAGCCAATCAATATAGGCGTTTATGCTTTAAAATTGAGATGAAATAAAAGAAATACAACAAATAGTTTCCGACAATTCAGGTGTATAGAATCGTTACCACTAGAACGCAAGTGAATCCTCAAACAGTTTTGACAATTCCTCCCTCTGGGGTGTAACGTCCTCATTCAAATTTGGCGCTAACATCAAGACTCTCCTCTGTGGGATCGTGCCTTCTACAAGCCCCGCGATATCACCAGAATTGAAACCAAGGTCCTGAATACCCTTAGGCTGGTCACCAAGCCCGTAAAGAAATTTCTTAAGTGCCTCACTGAGTACCTCGCCGGCATCTTCTGTTCTTACATTGGAAATGTCTACCCCGAATGCTTCGGCTGCAGCTAGATGACGTTCGGGATTGGAGGCTGCAGTGAATTTGAATACTGCGGGTGCGGTAACAGCTACACTAACCTATTTTCGCAGGGATATCAGTTAAGTGAAGATATAAATTTGAGAGTTAAAATACATACGCCATGGGGAATAAGTGAATGCGGGACATCGTATCCCTTGTGTTTATACCCTTTGTTACCCCCAGAAATTGGGTAACTCATTCCATGACACAGGTGTACACCTGCATTTCCAAAACCAACTCCGGCTAGGGTTGCTGCGAGGAGCATCTGGCTCTGTGCCTCAAAATCATCCGGATCTCTGACAGCTCTTGGGAGGTATTTGATTGTCATCTGTAGGGCTTTAAACGAAAATACATCGCTAATGGGGTTGGCACCCTGGTAAGCCGGTCTGAGTATTGGGTTGGTTGGCCTTGGAGTACGTTCGTTATAAGGTATTGCTGTGTATGATTCAAGAGCATGGCATAGCACATCAAGTCCTGAGGATGCATGGACAGCCGATGGCATCGTACGAGTGTTGAGAGGGTCACAGATCCCAAGGGTCGGCTTAAGGACACGGTGAGCAACACCGGTTTTTGCTTTCTTGTCTACGAGATCACTACATGCGATCCTGTAAGTTTAAACCAACGAGGAGGAGGAGGAGGAGGAGGAGGAGGGGCAGAAGTAAAGATGAGAATTACAAGATAGCTGTGCCGGTTGTCTCACTACCGGTTCCTGCGGTAGTTGGGACACAGATCAGTGGCCTCAGAGATTTTGTAATCGGAAGTCCCTTGCCCAAGGGTGCATTAACCTAGTTATAAGTGTTAATGTTGGGTTTTAGTAGTTCTGGGAGGATGAAAAGGCTCACAAAATCTAGGAAATCTGCTTCTGGAAAGCATGTGTATAAATTCATCAACTTTGCGGTATCCATGACACTTCCCCCACCCACGGCAAGGTAAGCATCTCCATTTACCCTCTTGCTAAATTCAATTGCTTTCTTGATTGAATAATCTTTGGGCTCTACGCGTACGTCGCTAAAGATTTCGTACTTGATGCCCTCTTTCTCTAAAGCCTCAATTGCAGTCTTCATAGACTGGAGCTTCGCCACAGTTTGGTCAGTAACCACAACTACCTTCTTTGCCTTCATATTGGCAAAGTCCATGCCAACTTCCTGTGTAGAGCCAGGGCCGAAACGTATGCTAGATGCAGCCATTTCAAAAGCATACTCTTTCATTCCCGCATGGTCTGTCGGCGTTGTAACCCCACGATTTCCATTCTTAAAGAGATTCGTCAAGGAGTGCTTATGATTATGATGGTGTGAAGGTTGACCGTGACAAGGACACGAAGGTGGGTGAGTGTATTGCACTGTTCTGAGAAGTCCTAGGGCCCGTGTGCGGGCAGTAGGAACGACGCGGGCAACAACCATGATTGAGCACTCAAATCGATTTCACTTTGGAGAGGATTGGGTGAACTGAGATGAAGGAAGATAGAGGGGATGATACGGATTATGTACTAGTTTGAGCGCCCAATACAGTCCTGTAATACTTAGATACATGTAGCGATGCACGACAGGCTCGGACTTCAGGAGTGTATTGCGGGGTGACTTGTCGGCCCGAGCTATTGCAAAGGTACATGTAGAGTATGTATGTACCTATAGTAATCCAACGGAACTTTCCGAGAGTGTGGGGTAGATGTAACTACCCACGGGCCATGAGACTCCAGTAGTACCTACAGTAAAGGAGCCCTAAACCTCACGCCTAATACATGTACTCTACATACAAAGAGTGGCCCAACTGAAAACTACCAGGAATACTGTCATTAGAGCGTATTTGCCAACCGTCAATTTCAACTATTGACACTTCAAACTTGACAGTTTCGGGAGGCAAAATTGGCAGTTCCCCACAGTGGCCAAAATCGATCTGGTTAACGGTATGACAGAATAAACCCCGAAAACCAGACAACCCATCACGCTACCTGTGAAGTACGCTGTTGGAACTGAAAATTCATACCCATGATACTAGCTTCGGTAGTAACAAAACTGGGTACTTGTGATCCTCCTGGTATATCTCACAGCACGCCGCCCCACCGAAATTCAAAATTAACAGCCCCGGTTGCCATTTCGGAGCCCCACAATTCGCAAATTCTTGAAATTGACGGTTGGCAAATACGCTCTATTCACGGACACTGGACCGTGTTGACGGACAAGCCAAAAAAGAGACAGCCAAGCCAAGTTTTGCCTGCAATCCGTCAACACCCAGTATCCGCCAATACCCCGTGAACGACGGTACATGTATTTCTGAGTAACAGCTAGCAATGTTCCGCAACAAAAGACTTATATGCCCCGGGTATGGGGCTACTGCTTTGGTGATATGATGGGGGTTGGGCGATTATTATAGTAGGTACTAAAGCCAGATTACACGGCTCTTCCAATCCCACCATTACAATATTTGTTTTGGTATGTAGCTTCGGCCGGGCTTGGTGATGGTTTGGCTTGGTAGGGTACATACATGTACTCGTTTTACACTCGTATAGTAAAAAAAAAAAAAAAAAACCTCTGTAGATTAATAAAAGTATTCGAAATGACAAACAATTTTGTAGATGCTTTAAAGTCCCGAGTGCAAAGATTGAAACCTGGTAGAGATGATTGAACTTGAGACAAGCTGAAAGCCATGGCCCTGATATACCTCGCGTCTCGAGTTCTAAATTTCGTAATTTAACTATGTATATGTACATATAGCGCTACTACGAGGGTTGTAACAAATACATACATGTATGTACTTTGTTTGCGTATAGTTTTTTGTCGAGCAGGATCATTGATATTTGGAGTGGTTTCTGTATACCTTCACAAGATCGATCTTCCAGTGAGATATAACCTCATCTTTACTCGTATACTCAAGTATGTACAATTAATACTGTATATGGTGTTTTTGTAATATTTAGGCCTTGCTGCGTAGGTACATGTACTTAAAGAGCAACTGTTGCGGCTCTCGCATGCAGCTCGGCCCCCCACTTCAGACCCGATCTTAATTGTCACAATTTCTAGGGTAAATTGTTGTCTCGGGAGCGCACAGGATACTAGCTACACTAGACTAGAGTAAGAACATGTAGAGTAGTGGTAAATGTACCTACATGCACATACCACAGTCAGGGCTTAAAATGACATCAACCCCTCGTTGAGCCATGGACTACAGACTAGGGCGACACACAGGCGTATTTATCATTCTGCGCGCGTTGCTCAAAGAACGACCGATCCCCGAAACGATCCCCAATCAAAGTTTCACCTCCCAGGTGACGGGCTGTTTCACTAAGATACACACCGCCCCACCCCACCCCACCCCACCTCCATCCTTCTTTCTAACAACTACATTCTCTCTGAGTCTTTTCAGTATCACAAACGCTCATTCAACTCTGCGTCCTTAGGAGAAGCCATGGCTTCATCTCGAGCTACAGCCTCGCGTCGAAGCTCGAAAGATTTTACTACTCCGTTACGCCGCTCAAACCGTCTTAACCCCCGCCCAGTTACTTATGCAGACCCTCCAGATGTCATCAGTGGAAATGGATCTAACTCTCCTCTCATCCTCACGAAGAGATGGAATAAATCCGATGTAAAGGAATCTAGTCCAAAGCTTCGTCACCAATCTAGACCTTCGAATGACCTCACACAAAAATTCTCACAAAAAAGATGTCGCACCAAGGGTGAAAAGACACCCGATCCCGAGGAATTGGATGAAGAACTACTGAGGCGTACATGCGAAAGCCTAAATATCAACTACTCACTTTTTGACGACTGGACTGAGGATCCTAGAGGGATGAAAATCGAGGATATGAAAATACCGTTTTTGCCGAGCGAGATTATGCTCCAGATATTTAGCGAATGCAGACCTGAGGTCCTTGTTGAATGCAAGAAAACCTGTAGACGATTTCGAGATCTATTGTCTGGGAACTCAAGGTATCTATTCTTGGTTTTTAACAGCTATTTTTTTTTCTTTCTCTTTCTTCTCTGGAACCCGTATTGAAACCTGACGTTTCTATGCAGTATCTGGCGTAAAGCTCGCGATAAGAGCTATCCAGGGCTACCATTGAAACTTCCTCTGGACTTTGATGAAGAAGAATTATTCGATATGACAACTGGCAAGAAATGCGATTATTGTGATACTAAGAAGAAAGTCCGACCATACTACGTTTGGAGTGTCCGATGTTGTCAGGTATAATTTATAAAACCTCCTTTTAGACACCAGCCACAGTGACTAATCAAATTCTCTAGGAATGTATAAAAACTCTGACACTTTCCGCGTCCGAGTTCAAAAGAATGCTCAAAAGGAAAGTAGGAGAATCATCTGATTGGGACGCTCAAAAACGTGAGCTCATATGTCATACTATAAAATGGCACGATCTACCTACAGGAGCAAGACTCTGTTGGAAGGAGGAAGCCTATGCACGGATAAACGAAGCCGAGGAGGTGTTGCTTGAAGAGAGATTCCGAGAATGGTATTTGGAATCATCTGTTAGCAAAGATATGAGGGAAGTCTTCTGGGTTTTGGAGGATTGGGGAGCCGATGTCCCACGGATGATGAAGAAGGATAAGGAAAATGAAAAGAATAAAGTAATAGATACCAGGAAAGAGTTATACAAAGCCTGGTGCTTAAAGGTTAGAAATCCCCCCTGACTTATACTAAATTAGAAATAGGGTTTATTGGTGCTACATAGGTCCTTCCAAATCCCATACCTAGCGAAACCCTGCCTTTGCTCTCGGCATACAACAGTACCGTTAATAAACCTGGGTTTCTCACCAAAAAAGAGTTCGTTTTATCCCTTCCTCGTCTCATACGTGATAGCATCCGTTTCGACGATGAGGCTCGTCGTCACAAAGCCCTCGAGCGTCAAAACCGGCTCAAGCACGATGATCTACTGGAAGAAACAGTTCAGCAGGTTATGCACGCTCTCATTCGTGAAGGCTCGGCAAAAAATTGGGGCAGCATAGTGAGAGAAAAGGTCAAAGAAGCAAGCTCATCCAAGATAGAGCTGAGATTCCCTAAGGATACTCCAGAGGCTGTCTTGCGGGAATGGAGATGGCGTTGTAATGACTTAGGGATTCCACTGCTGTACCGTTTTGCGAACCTATTGGAAGAGGCGTTGGACCGCGAGACTTCTCCATACCGGGATTTACTCCATCCTAGTGTTTTTGAATTTTTCGAGAACGAAGAGGATCGTATCTTTACCTGTCACGGATTGTCGATGCAATTCACCCACATCGGGCCCACATTTCATAGGTGTAAATATAAAGAACGCATGACTTTGTTGGAGCTGGCGCAACATTTTGTTGAGATGGGGATACACCAACAGGACCTGACTCATTTGATCGTGGGTAAATGGGAGTATATGATCAAGTTTGCTCCTTCAGCAAACTTCTATTCATCTTGCCGTCACAGTTTAGGGAGGAGGGAGAGGCAACGAAAAATTACACAGTTCTTGCAAAGATCATAGGTAATCTTTAGTAGGATGCTTCTGGTAATCGAGTTTTGGTTTCTTCGTTGTAATAAATTGCTAACTAGTAGCTCGTTTATTATTCTTTTTACATTTCTTTCTTTCTGGGGTTTATGGTAGTGGATCATTAACGTTAATTGGCATCTTGGGCATTGATTTGAAATGAGTACATGAATGCGGGTCTGGTAAAACTTATGGGCCCAAATCTAATAACCACGAATCACCAACCAACCTACCCAAATGCTTCCCCTGCTGTTATGATTTGTTTGCTCAAGGGTGTATATTATATTTTCAAGAATTCATTTGGCCAGTAGGAGGCTTCGTATCAAGTTAGTTGAAACCTATTATTTATAGTTATTAGATAAAGATTAAGTAAATACTCTTAAATCTTTTGTTCTGACAGCGCCACGAGAATTTTGGCCCTTGATATACATATCCCCACTTGTTTCCCATATCTGGTGGTTGTGCAGAAATGGATTTCCTTTTCGCTGGTGTTACGTCCTAGCTTTCGCCGACCCATTCTAAGTTTTACTAGACCCGCGCTCACATAAATATATGTACAGCCACTCATCAAAAGTGTTCGTGATTTAGTTTTAGTGTCAGTGCGCAGTGTGGCGCACCCGTAACGTTGATGTTATTAATTAATGTTGAGATTTAAAACAACGAAAAATATATAATATAGTTCGTGACTATATATAAAAGAAGATAGGTCATTGATCTTATTCTTCATTGATTGGGCGCCATTGATCACTGGGAAAGTCTTCTCTTGGGGTTTTTTTTGATGGTCCGCCACGGTTACCTATGGAGAAATGTCACACTCCGAAATCGGAATCACGAACACTTTTGCAGAGTGGCTGTATAATTATGCACTATAAGAATACTTTAAGTTCACTGTTAGATGGAACAAAAGCGAATTATAAGGGGGAAATTTGGTGATGGAAG